CGCCTTGCCTATCGCAGGGGAGGCATGTATCCAAATCTCTCTAGGAAAATGATACCTAATGCCCAACTACTATTTTTCCCATTTCATATTTCATGGAGTCATAGAATCATAGAATAATTCAGGCTGGAACGCAGCTCAGCGGGTCATCTTATCCACTTTGCTGCTCAAAGCTATGAGACCAGGTTGCTCAGGGCTTCATTGAGTCGGACCTTCAAACCCTCAAAAAATGGAACTGCACAGGTTCTATGCTTAACCGTTTCCTATCCTTGACTATATTTAAATTGAAAAAGCATCCCACTGGAACCTCTCTTTTTTTCATTTTCTGTACATTGTCTCTCATTCCCCCTTTGTTCTAGTAGATTCGGGCTTGTGTTACTAAGGGCTGTGAAAAATAAACCCTTTTATTTCTTTTCAGTATTTCTGCATGCATACAGAAAACAATTACAATATCCTTCAGGCTCTAAGTCAGCAAATCTAAACAATTTTTTTCTGCTCCTTATGGGCTGTATTAAAAGATGAACACTCATGCTTGCATGTACAGAAAGCAGAGTTTCAATGAAGATCTGACCCAGAGACCAGAAAGCACAGTTTTTCTATAAAAGGTGTTCTTTCTTTAAAAAGACTATTGTAACCTAAACACTTTATGATATATTTTATTTCCAAGGAACTTTTTCAATCTCACTGAACATGCTGAAGTCATTACACAGTTACTAGAGATACTTTTTTGTCTGGACAGCCTTACTAATGGTTATGTTTCTGCAGGAGATTAAAAATGATATATTAGTAGATATTCTTCTAAAAATACTCTTTTAAGTAATATGTATCTGCATATTCCCAAAGAAAATACAGCAAATAATTCATGGCAAATAATATATAACCATTAGAACTTCACCACTGTATTTATTTAAATGAAGGGAAACATGTTGAAATGTGAAAGCTAAGCATTTCAGTTTATTCACATATTTTACATTCAGAGGACCACAGCAATGATTTCTTTCAGAAAAAAGAAAAAGATACCCATTTGTGGTTTCCAAAATTTGACAGATACACGGAATATACTTAATGAAGCACGTCACTGCACTGCATACTATGAAAGCCTTGTGTATATGGAAAAAAGATAAAATCAAAATAAATTTGACCATTACTAAAAGAAGGGTTTCCTTTAATATAAATAAAATTCAGAGTGCTTTATTTCAGCAGGCAAAACAACAGTGGAATTTATTAACAACTACATATTTACAGTGTCTCACTGGTAAAAATAGTGGGCTTCATCTGAGATCCTAGACACTTCCTGAGAAGGCAACGTGGACTGTGGATTGCTCAGCACTTCACATAAGGTAGGTGCTAAAAGGATGAAATTATAGCATACTTTTAAAGTGAATAAGATGGCAAAGTTGGAACTGCTGATACAACATGTTTATTCCCTGATCCTGCAAAACTTGCAGCACTAGTAGTCCCTTTGATTTCAGTAGATCTACATATGCTCCCAAGGTTAAACACAGGATAAGTGTTTCAAAATCAGGAACCTGGCAGGAAGACAACTGCTTGATTCAAAGATGCTGTGAACAGAGAAAACTGCTGTAATTGCAATTTTACATGGAATGGAGGCACATGACCTTGAATTTACACTAGTATTCTACATAAGTGATTCCTTCAGCTATGCTTTAATCTGATTGAAAAAAGGTCTAGATTCTAAATGTCTCTATCAAGTGACAAACCTGTGAAAGCATCTCCTTCCAGAGCCTCCAAAATCATCGTGCCAATTTAGCAGATCTCAATCTGGCAATTAAATAAAACAAGAACCAGATCTTTTTCAAAGTATTCACAAAATAATCTTTCACTTACAAAATGGCTGTCACACCATTCTTGTATCAGACCTGATATCAGTTCTTTAGATCTAAACAGTTCTTTAAAAGTTATAAAAATAAAGAATTGATTAATATACAAATATATATTTCAAAGTGATAAGAGAATAATATTAAACAAATTCCTTTTTAAATCTACTTTAAATTAAAAAGAAATGTTTTCAAAACTCTGGGCTGAAGCAGATCTTTATCTATTGACTCTTTAATGGAACCCATTCCCTGTAGATGACCATATACAACTTAATGTAAGCTCATTACTGCAAAAAGACCATGGACATGTTCCCACTAACAAAGCAATTCCTAAAATCTGCTGTGCCAGTTGGATTCTCATATCTCTCTTTCAAGGACTGCAGATATTTTTAATACTAGAAACAAAACCTAAGTAATGAAAATTCTTGTACTATTTTAGAAATTTGCTCCTGTCTCTTGTCTGCATTAGTATTTGTTTTCCAATAATCTAGTTTGTTTTGTATACTGTTTGTATACAGCATAATATAAATGCTCTGCATGAATGCACATGTATATATAAAACCAGACCGTTATTCAGTTAAAAGATATATCTGCTCACTGGGTCATTTCATACTTTCACAATGCCATATTTTTCTATAATAACCGTAACAACATCATGTAGGTTGCTCCCTTCTTCCACTGAGATGCTCGTACAGGTTTTATTTCCATTTATCGTAAGCAGCCAAAACAGCAAGGAACATTTTTGAACAACCTATAATACTCTTCCTGAATCTGAAATAAAAATATTGAATTCAAACATGAAATAGAATTATTAATAGGTCTATATATGTTTTAATTCATTTTCTACTGCGCCATGCACTTAATTTTTTAAGGCAGGGATGCTCTTGACTTTAAGACAGGATACTGCAGAATGTATCATCTCAGAACAGTGTGAATCCTGCCTCTAACTGCAAAGACTGAAAGTAAGTTTCTTACACCTATTGTGTTATTTTGTCAGGATAATGACACTATAATCAGTTTTACAGTTTTTTAAAACATTATTTACTGTTTCATATATTGTTTTTAAAATCCAGAGAAAATAGCTGAGACAGTAAGAATCTGGGCAGAAGTTCTGTCTCCACTGAAGTCAAAAGTAAAATTTCCTCTATACCCTCCTCACCCCCCGTCAGTGGCCCAGGGATTTCTACACTTAGTCTGATACAATGCTTATACCATAAGCCTCCCACTTCAGACCCCAGGGCTGGGCACCCGCTTGTGTCATTATGTGTGACCATCTGCCTAAATCGATTCTCACAAGGGATGGGACACTTACCTTTCTAGACAACACACAAAGAAATATGAAGATGAACATCCCTTGAAACGCATTGAAGATTGTAAAAAGATATGCAGTAACCACTGATCCCTGGACGACGTGGAGGACCCCAAAGATCCAGGTAGCCCCAAGAAGGAACAGGAGAGCAAGAGCACCTCGGGCACAGGACCTAGATGGGAGGGAAACATTACAAACAACTTTCAGACACATGCTATTTCCTGTCCTTAACTGCTTTGAATGATGAACGCTGCATAGGCAAGTTTTTTCAGCAGCAAAGGCCTGAGAAGCGCAAGTGCATGGCCTGTGCTTTAGGGTGTGCTGTAACACTGTGGCATGAGTAAGCTCACGCAATCACTGCAGAACAGCACAGGGGTAAAACGGGAGGACCTTAAAACATTGGCTTCTTTAATCTTTAGATATGTTTTCTCTGGTGTACTGCAGCACCATATGATTTGATTTAAATCTACTGTTAGTGTAATTCCCCAAGGAAAAACATATGTCTGTTATGAAGTATTCCCCCCACTTCTCCTCCTCCCCCTTCTTCTCCTCAAAAAATAACCCAGAAAAATGTACAGTATGCTCTTAGGTCAGTACATGTGCATGACATCAAAGGGTTCCCAGGCTGCCTCTCAGGCACGCTGCAGAAGGTTCACTGCAGAAGATAGTGCCAATTGTAAAACTAGACTTTGTTTCTTTCATTCGTTCTGTCTCTAAAAAAATATTTTTGTTTTTAGAACACAAATACTCCTAAATATTTCCTGGGTCAGTGTATTGATGCTTTCAAATTATATGAACTGATTTGCTATGTTTTTTTTCTAACATGCTGTAGAGCCCTGCTCACAGACTCGAGCAAATTACAGCATGTTGTCTTGGAAATGAAACCACTGATTACTTTCTTATTCATTCCTAGCCCAGTCATTGCAGGACTTCCTTTGAGCAGGAGACATTTTTAGCACTGTTCCTCTGAAAATGAATAATTTTCAACTTCATTAAAACCAGCTCACCACATGAAGCTACGAAGGGTGAGGAATAAGAGAAAGTAATCAATCAAACAATTGCTAAATCCTAACTATAAATTTAGTGCAATGCATTGAAACTGCAGGAGTGTTCCTAAGCAACGCAAACAGTAAGTTGTTTTCAATGTTCCCTGTAGTACACTTCAGCTTTTCCTGCACAAACGGTTTTCAAGGTCCCTATAAATCAGTTTTAAAGAGAGTGAGTTGATGGAAAAATCATAGCAGCATGCAAAGTGAAAATCTTGGAGAGACCTCCCCCCCGCCCCTGAAAACGCCACAGAGGTACAATGTCCTACTGTAGTCTTTTCACAAATAATGTGAATCACTAAGAACTCACCTTTAGTTTGTTATCAGTGTATTACTATACGCTTTGTTACTTCACAAGTATTTTGGTCCCAGTTCAGGCACAAGTTTTGAAACCTGTTTTGACTTGCACAGAGGTACAGAAAGTGCTTAAGTAGAAAGGAAAATTACTTCTTCAGCCTTCGTCAGTCTTTACCTCTTGTTGCTAAGGGGCCGCTAATTGTCCGTATTCTTTGTACACCTCCCCACGCAACCCCACTGCTACTGCGTAAGGCATCGTTCAGTGGGAATAGATATTGCAAAATCTAGCCCCAATTTAATACAAAGGATGGGACAACAGAAAAATCTTTCTTTTTCTACAAATCTTCCGGAAGAAAAAAAAACATTATTTTTGAATAATCGCATTCATCTCTAGCTGTATTTAAACTTATGGAAGAAGAGAATTTGTATTAAATGGCAAACTTACCTTATATTTTCATAACAACTAACTTCTGGCTTTAACATTGCAGTGTGTCGAAATACTTTATAAATAATCACTCCAAAAGCCAGCAAATTAACCTGGGGGGAGTAAGAAAGGATGTTCTTTTCTAGTTCAAACCAGTATGCTTTTGAATTTCAATAACTGATACACATTTAAAAGGAACAAGTCAGATAAGGTTTCTGTGTATATGAAACCCAGAGAATCCAGTGCCGGGAGGGGAAAAAAAAAATCCTTTCTGATCCACTTCTATTAAAAAAATATGAGCCCTGTAATAAACATTGATCAAACAGGGCTGTAACTCTACCTTATCTCAACAGTATCACCACCAACAGTCTGCAAATGTTTATTGATTTTATTGGTAAATCTCTTCTATTTCCTGCTGAGATTTTTACTTCAAGTAGAGATGTTTAATAAAAGAGGAAAGAAAAGAAGAGAAAAGAAGAGGAAAAAGAAAAAAGAGGTAAAGAAAAGAGCAAAGAAAAGAGAAAAGGAGAAAATCAAAAAAGCCCTTCCCCTATAGATTTTCTATTATACTGTATCATGTAGATCTTGACAAAATGTACTTCTGTTGCTGAATAACATTAATAACATCGTATGCTCTGATGTCTTTTGGGTGTGAGAACTTTCAAGTGATACAAAAAACTGTGAGGTTTACACAAAGAAATTTTAAAAAATAACTTTGGTTGAAAGGTTCTTTGCTGGGTATTCTCTCTAATATTTTATGTTTGTTTCATAGGTGAATAATTTCAATTTTTTTAAACCTACCTTATAGTGGCACCACTACATTTGAGTTTGAAACAGAAAAAAAAAAAACAAGTAAAGGAAGCAGGTTTGCAAATGACGCTCAATTATGGTTCTGAACTTCTGTTTGCTTGGATAGGCTTCACTGATCTTTCAGTTAAATTTCTATTGCATCCTTTATACAATAAGGTTCAGTTTGCTTTCTGCCTTTAAAAAATTTCTTATTTTGGTTTGCAGCATTTAACATTAGCATCTATTAAAAATGTTAACAAATGAACCAAATTCTAGCTGGATGTCTTCCAGGTCCTATTTGTAGATCCTTGCTTGTAATCCCTTGCTTGGTTCCTTTGGGCTTACGGCTGTAGACTGATAGAATTATTATCTTCCCCAACTTGTTTCTCTAGAAAGACTGTGGGGTTTTCCTACCTCCTCCTTTTTAGTGAAAAAAAAAAACCCCTCCAAAATGAAAACAAAAGCCTGCTACAGAAGTGCAGCATCAATTAAAAAAAAAACACTTTAATTTGTTAAAACTTGTTATGTATGTCCTTAGAACATTTTTGTTACGTGTTGGGGGGGGGAATATCTGATATTAAATGCAGGCTCTGCTTTAATTAGCTGCATGCTCATACTTTAATACAGCATAATGTATTTACAATTTGATAAGACAGGAGATAGAGCTGATTAGTAGTTCAGGGAATTAATCCTTCACTGAATACCTTGTACTTGCACTGATCGTTGAGAGCTATTCTGAAGCTCCTTGTATTTAAAATTGTAATCTATAGTATCTCCTAAACCAGCAATTTTTCAAAGTTAATTATAAGTCAGTCAGCAGTTGTGGGTAATTATATGCAGACTTACTTTTTATCTTATATTTGTTGGTGAATAATATATCAAATAACTCAGTGCATACACTGTAATCTGCATAACCCACCTCATGTACTTATTAAAATAATCTGCAAAAGGTAGGGCGAAATGTGATCAAAGTATCATGAGCATAGCGAATACACACAGTTCCTGCTTTAGAAATTGTCAGCAAGATCACAGCACAAGCCCTGTGGCCCACCTTCCCTCTGCTGGCCTGTAACAAAAATCATTAGTGTCAGTGATCGTCTTCCCATTGCCCTTAGTGGGCTCTGCCAAAAACTCTGGGGCCAAACCCCATCTGTTACCACGTGCCGAGACGATAGCAGCAGAACTGGCAAGGGTTCGTTGAGTGGGGCCGGGACAGGCCAAAAAGGACCGCCAGCAGCGGGCACATCTGGTGCCTTGGGGTAGAGGTCTCCATTTCACTCCCTTCCAGCAAGACTCCGTTGCCCAAATGCTATTTACACAGTTGTACAGGATATTAGGATTTGGCCCTCTGCATTAAAGTAATACCCATTAACTATGATCTTTTCATTCATCAATTCACTCTAATGGGAATAATCTGTATGTATCGAGGGAACAGGAGAGGTTAACGTTGGCTTCTCGGAGTCAGCTGTCAGAACACAATTATTGTACAATATGTCTCAGGTAGCCTCACAGGAGGTAGTGTTACAGGGTAATGAGGGTGAGCTTAACTTCTGAAATACTCGGTCATTTCCAAGATTTATTAAAGTCTTAAGTAGGTTTTTGCCCCATTTTGAAGCACTGCTTTAATAAAATATATCTATAGCAAAGTGCATAGACTGCCTTTATAGAATGTTCAGTGTCTCAAAACGGTAGCTTTTAGGCAATTTACCATATTTTTTTCTTTTCACCCTAAGCTAGAACCCTCTGATACCACATTTTGTATTTTGGAAGACCTCAAATAGGAAACAACAAAATATTTATGACTGTCCTGTGACAGTGAAAATCCAGCAAAACTTGAGGGAAAACAATAACATGAACTCATGGGCAAATCCAGGTGAAAAAACTAGTTGTTGTGGATAATTTGTGAAGCGTGGTCTTTGGAGAAAGCTAGCAATCTAACAGGTATCCCGGGCTTAGCACCCTCTCTTTCTGCCTGATATCCTGCACGTTCTCTAACATGAGTGTACTAATAGCCCCAGCTAGGTCTGGGGAATGTAAAGTAAAAAGTTCACCTTGGACAGCTGGACTGAATACGAATGAAGGGGAAATGGTCTTTTAACAATATCAGCAAAGAGCCATACATATCATTTAAATGGATGGGAAGGGAAGTCAAAGCACCCAAAGTGCCTGGCCCCAGATATCACCACATAAGGCATTTGCATTGCTATCCAAAACTGAGCTTCAAATGAATATACATGGAGGTAGCAGGCTATAGAAAGCATCTGAAATATAGACAGCCACTGGGAATCCTGGATCCCAAGTCTTCCAGCTGCAACATACTGAGGGAGTTCTGGATGAGAGATACTGAAATATCTAAAAAGGCTCCTGCTGCAACTGATAGCTAAATATTATGTTTTATACTTACTTCGGTTTTAAACTTTTGTTTTCGTTTTTGTAATTAAAGCGCAATCTTAAGATCTTGTTGAATAAACCTTTGATAACATTATAATTAAGCCTGCCTTAAGGTGACAGGCAAGGTGAATGAGACTGAAATGACAAACATAAGGTAAGCTGTCTCCAGAGAGGCAGCAAACTGGAACAAAGCAACATGTGCAGGCAACTGTGAAACAAAGTTTAGGGCAGGCTTTCCACAAGCCTAGAAAGAGCCAGCCTGGGGACTACTGCTGCCACATGCCGGCTTTGGGGAGAAGTTACCTGTATAATGAGCAGAGTCACTCTGCAGCTTGGGGCAAACCTAAAGCAGGAGATGTTGTGGAACAGCCACAGTTTTATTGAGTGAATAATGATGTTACAGCATGACATGGTAAGGTCTTGAGCCTTTGTTTTCAGGGTTATTACATGGCTGAGTAGTTAGAGAAACTGCTGCATGTCCTGAGAGGCGGTTCTCTAGAAGTCTAATAGGCTAAAGGGGAATTGCATTGATTCCAAGCCCAGAATTGAATTCTCCCTTTCTTAAACAAACAATCCCAAACCGCTACGAGGTAAACAGTAAACTCAGATCTTACTATTTCACGAAGAAAACCTCTGGCTTTCTCATTTCAAGCCAATTCTGTAAGATGCGGAGCAGCCTCAGCCCCCTTGAGATTTCAGCTGGAGTCAGGTTTCACTCAAAGTGCTCAGGTGCACTACAGGACTAATTTTAATAATTACTCTGTTCCTTTCTTTTAAGCAGTTAATTAAAGACAAGGGCTGATATAGGAACAGTCTCCGTTCATAGTATTTTCAGGGAATCATTTCTCCTTAAAGGTATCTGTAGAAGTATTTTTAGCTTTCCTAAATTCTAGAAGTGTTTTGGTATATTTATGAGCAAATAATAGGAAAGTGAAAGTATGTTTAAGTAAAATAGACATTAAATAAGTGTAATTATTAGGATCCCATGAAATCATGATTTTGTAGAGATAGGCAGCTACATTCATGTTTCTGTACAACCCAGAATGACTTCCAGCAAGCCACAAATCCTGATGAGTTAGGTTTTTTTGTACACCTCTGACTGACCTTAAGAGGAAGATGGTAGATGTCCAGCATACCTCTCCTTGGGAGATCACCTGTATAAAGGGCCAGGAGGATTTAGGACACTGGAGTAACTTCTGGCCCCACTAAGCCAAAGGCATTACTCATACAGTGTAGCGGTCTCCAGAGATTCAGAGGCAAGAACAGATGCTGTCATGGATTTCACCCTCCAGATTACCATTTGCTAATCATGTATTGTGGATGTATGCAGTGGTAGAGGAGGATAGTCAAATTTTCCTGAGGTTGTATTTCAGGGATCTCCAGGGTACTGTTCCTGTGTTCATGATTGTGGTCTTGGTGGGTAAGACAAAGTAGACACAGATAAAGTTGCCAGGAAAGGTACAAGTCCTAGGATCAGATCTGGCCCACAGCCACAAGTCGGATAGCATTGGTCTGGATAATTTCCCCTTGTCCATAAGAGAGAAAAAGTGATTGCAAATTCACAGAAATTTCCTGGTGCTTGCCTAATCACGTTGTTGACAGTAAGGAGGTTTTGCCAAAGGAATTAGCATGGCAGCTCTGTTCTGTCCAGCACACGTATTTTAGGGCAGCATGGGAAAACCTGTGTGTAGTGTTAACGTACTTCTAACCAGAGTTAGGATGACTGCCCTGTAAACTTGGTTGCTGAGGCCTTTCTCCCTCTGTCTGGATCCTCCCAGGGCTCCAGAGCAGAGCAATGCTGCCAGTATAGGCTCCCCTAATGTACGGAAACTCTCCAACTACAAGCATGGGTAGAAAAAAGATACCGCTGTTTTGGCTTTTCTACTCCTATCAGTTTTGGGACCACCACAGTATACTTTCATTCCTCCGCAGT